ATATATAAATGATTCATATCAATTGTCTTAAAGTTATGTAGAAAAAAAAGAATTATCAGTCTTTTTAAATTAATTAGTTTCTAATAGAATTAAGTGCACAACACTGTCCTATATTGGCTTTGCTTGCTGCCTTTACTGAAATATATACAAGCCAATAGGGAAGCCAGTCACATGGCTTTATTGAAATGTCCATTTATTTCATTACTCTTACCTAAAGGTCAAATAGACCCCAGTGGCATGAATTTGCCTCTCAACAAAAGTTGCTCTACTCCCAGCACGCATTAGTGTGATTGCATTAAGCTCTTTAATAATATAATATAGCCTGTGCTAAGAGGGATTAATCATTCTTTTTCAACATCCATACATCCAACAGAAATCATGTTTGAAAGTTTGCAGGTGGCAAATAAATTCTTAAACTGTTGTTGTTTTAGCGTTATCAGTTATGATGTTTTGATATGATTATGCATTTTATTGATATTATTGATGGAATGATTATGCGATACACAGCTGGATGTTTGAATGCTAACAGCACAATGCAATATTATACATGTTAAATATTTTAAACGTATGTTTAAAATCAAGGTTTTGTAATTAGTGGTCTATATACAGTAATTATGCACTTTGAAATAATACGCTTTCAGATTTCTTTAATCTTCGCGGGCGATTTGCCATTTGCATAGTTTTTATTAGGTTTTAATTATCCACTGCACAGCATGCTGCATCGCATATTTGATTTTGCACCAGCTTTGAACGTGTTTCACACAGTCAATATATTCTTCACACTTTTGTAAATGATGTTTTCACATTAAATCGGACCGTGACTTTCAGAATGGGAAGGTAAGGCAAGAATTTCACATATTCAAACTCCTCTACAATCTTTACCTTCTTATAGTCCAGACATGATTTTATTGCTGATATTATCTGCATACTGCATTTTTGTTTTTTGATACCTTTATGTTTTCTTTGGTGTTATTCTTTGATTATGTTCTCCTTGTTTCTTTTATACGAAAACTGTACACTCTTAAAAATAAAGGTGCTTCAAAAGGTTCTTCAAGCGATGCCATAGAAGAACCATTTTTGGTTCCACAAAGAACCATTCAGTCAAAGATTCTTTAAAGAGCCATCCCTTTCTTACCTTTTTGTAATCTGAAGAACCTTCTTTCGCCACAAAGAACCTTTTGTGAAACAGAAAAGTTCTTCAGATGTTAAAGGTTCGGACCCACTTTATATTAAGTGGCCTTAACAACTATGTACTTACATTTAAATTAATAATTTGGTACAATGCACTTATTGTGTACATACATGTTTTTACATTGTACTTATATTTTAAAAATACCTGCATGTAATTACATCTGTAATTAATTTCTGTAATTACATTTATAATTACACAGTTGACCCATCCCTTACACCTTAACCCACCCTTAAACCTACCCATACCAACAAACCTGTCCCTAACCTTACCCGTATCCCACCTTAATAGCAGCAAAAGTGTTTTGCAATACAATATGAACACAATAAGTACATTGTACTTCATTTTTGATGTAAGTACATAGTAGTTAAGGCCACTTAATATAAAGTGGGGCCAAAGGTTCTTTATGGAACCATTTAGACAAAAAGGTTCTTCTATGGCATCGTGAAGCACCTTTATTTGTCTTTTGTCATGTTCTGTTAACAACTGCTTGTTATTTTAATCGTATTTATTTGTACATTTTCGTTGTTGTTGTTGTTTGTTTGTTTGTTTGTTTGTTTGCTTGCATGCCTGTGTCTAGAGTTTGACCTCTCATGAGGTTTGAAGCACCTTTATTTGTCTTTTGTCATGTTCTGTTAACAACTGCTTGTTATTTTAATCGTATTTATTTGTACATTTTCGTTGTTGTTGTTGTTTGTTTGTTTGTTTGTTTGTTTGTTTGTTTGCTTGCATGCCTGTGTCTAGAGTTTGACCTCTCCTGAAGTTTATATGTGTATGTTTATGTATGTATTAGTTGTCAAACTTCAAGTTTAAGGTTTCTTTTCAGACTTCTTCATGTGGGACCCAAGCTGCCTTTGAGGCAACAATGAGCTCAATCCGTTTCCATAATTGTCCATTTTATACTTTTATGTGATACTACATGTGACTGCTGCATGTTAATGTAGTCTATTAGAACAAGATAAAGTCAGGGTTGCAGTTTTTGGCTGGAGTTGAAGATGCCACTAATTGCAGATCTGAAACCACTTTTTAATTGTAAGTTGACATGGTTGTATAGGCGAGGTTAGCTGTTTTCAGATCTGTATTTATTGACAGCTTGGCTCTAAAGCATGGTAGGAATGTTGGCTTATATCTTATGTTTTTTATTTATTTATTTTTCTTGTGTCCCGTCCCCTTTTTTAATTCTTTTTGTAGAGTGGATTCACACCCCTGCATATTGCTGCTCATTATGGAAATGGAAATGTCGCAACACTGCTCCTCAATCGAGGGGCTGCTGTGGACTTCACTGCAAGGGTGAGTGTTTACAGCTTTTACATGCATGTACATGAGCTTGACTTCCTTAAGCATTTGTACATTTAATATTAAAACTACTTCATAATACCACAATAAGATACAATACACAAACTAAGAATTTAAAACTTAAAATGGTCATTGAAAATTATTTTTGCATTTATGAATCTGATGAGAGTTGAGACCAAAGTTAACAACTATCTAAAATTATATAGTTATGGAAATTATTACAGATTTAAAACCTTTTTTATTTGAAATGATGTGCAATCCAAGTTGTAAACATTTTAGACAAAGCTCACAATTCTACATTAGATTAAAAGAAATCCATAAATTATAAAGATGATTCTCAACTCAAGTAATTTCTAAAGACTGCTTTTTTATATAAATTTGTTTCTTTTGTCTGTACAGAATGGGATCACGCCACTACATGTTGCGTCTAAGAGGGGAAACACTAATATGGTTCATCTGCTGTTGGACAGAGGGGCTCAGATTGATGCCAAAACACGGGTTAGTAACAATTAGTTATCACTTTAGTTTTGTACATAATGTATACACATAGCTGAGATGACTAGCATTTTTATGAGTCTGATATGAGCCAGATGTCAGTTAGCAATAGAAAAAAAGTATGCTATGCTTAGATCTAATTTATTATTTATGTTTACGTTTTGTAAAAGTTGCTCTTAAAATCATAATCTACTTCATATCAGACTACGTAATAAACAGTAAAAATGACCTATTGAAAATAAGTAACTCTCTCTCTACTTTGGCTGCTCCTGTCTGCACCACAGCAGAATTATCAGCACATTGTTTTGGCATGTTTTACACTGGATGACCTTCCTTATTGAAAATAAATAACTAATATAACATAAATGATTAAAATAAACCTTATACCTGCTAGGGGTGGGAATCACCAGAGGCCTCACGATACGATATTATCACGGTACTTGTGTCACGATACAATATTATTGCGATTTTAAATATATTGCGCGCGCCTGCGATATATTGCAATTTATTACCTTTTTCCAACTTCAAATTATGTCCCCAAAGGAAAACTTTGACATCTGTTTTAACTAAAAAAGAAACATTATTCAGTTTGTTTATCTCACTTTTATTGTTACAGTGCAAAATGGGATTGTCAAGCAGACAAACTGACCAACACTTTCATGAAAACCTGTCATAAATGTTGTATGCACCTGGCAAACTCAACTATTTGTATTACAGTCTAATCTAGTCCACCTTAATTAAATGTAAACAGGTATGCACTGCTGTGCTACTACAGGTATTTTGAACAATGCAACTTGAAATTGTACTAAAAAGCTGTGTAAACCCTTCAGCAATTGGGGCATTTGAAAGTAAATTACTGTTAAATTTAAATTAAATTAAATAAAACATGTAGTCTTACACCTAAGGATGCACCGAAATGAAAATTATGGGCCGAAACGGAAACCGAAAATTGTGGATGCACTTGGCCGAAAACCGAAACCAAACATGCTTTGTAATGATTATTTATTATTTTATTAAATAATATAAAGTAATTTTCTAAGACTTTTTAAATTTAACTCAATTTTAATGATACTGAATTAAAAAAAAAAAAAAAACCAATAAAATTACCATGAATTTACTGAAAGAACACAATAAAACTGGACAGAATTTATATTAATATTGGTAACACTTTACAATAAGGTTCATTAGTTAACTACTTTAGTTAATGAACTAAGAATGAATAATATTTCTTCAGCATTTACTAATCTTAGTTCATGATAATTTCAAAATTTACTACATTATTAAAATCAACAGTTGTGCTTGTTAACAGTTAATGCACTCTGAATTAACATGAACTAACAGTGAATAACTGTATTCTCATTAACTAACATTAAGAAATATTAATAAATACTGTAATAAATGTATTGTTCATTGTTTGATCACATTGTTTCATCACAGTAGCGCTACTGCAAACCAGAACAAGTAGGCCTATACTGCATAGAAATTTCCTGTCAGCGCGTTATTTGAGCGGACATTGCTTTTCCGGTGAACATGAGCGGTACACGAGTGGAACGCACATTCATAGATCTGAATATTGAGGGGAGCGTCAAACCGCGCAGTGAAGTGGAGAGTGAAACATACGCGCTGAACACTGCCGGGCGGGGCGTGACGTGACATATATATTATTATTATTATATGTAGCCTATATTTTCGGTGCATCCCTACTTACACCCCCTCCTTATTTACAAATCCGAAGTAAGTCCATACATCCGATTTAAACGCGGACGGGGCTTTCCTGATAACTTTCTGCAATGCCGCCCTCTTTATTTTACTAACTTACTGCATGCTGAAGGTGACCCAGCTGACCTCACCAGAAAAAAACTCAACACCAACATCTAGTGGATTGTAAAGAAATTGATTTTATTATTCTACCAAATAGTATAATAAAAGATCGATACTTGGCGTCCGTGTATCGATACAGTATCGCGATACTATGCTGTATCGATTTTTTACCCCACACCTAATACCTGCTAACTATCTCGGGTCGAAGGCAGGGAACGGATGACCAGTTCATAACAGGGCTAACACAGACAAACACACATTCACACTCCCAATCTATAGGCAAATTTGTGTCACCAGTTCCCTGACCTACATGTCTTTGGATTGTACAGAAAACCAGAGCACCTGAAGGAAACCCATGCCAACACAGGGAAAACATGCAAAATCAACACAGAAAGGCCTGCTGGCTCAGCCTGGACTTGAACTGGGAACCTTTATTAATTGAAAGTCTCAATCCAATAAGCAGTCAGAAGTCTTCTAAGCCTGTGTTACATGAATCGTTATAATCTTTCACACGCTGTTGTTACTGACTTCAGCAGTGCTTTTTATGTGCTATAAGCAATGATGAAAACACTGAGTATAAAAGACACAGGAGAGAAACTATAGTTAAGTGTGTAGGGGTTGAGGAGAATGTATATAACGTCACATTTGTGACACTGGACCACAAAACAAGTCAAAAGGGTAAATTTTTTTAAACTTATTTTTTGAATTATACATTTATACAAGCTGAATAAATACACTTTTCATTGATGTATGGTTTATTAGGATAGGACAATATTTGGCCGAGATACAACTATTTGAAAATCTGGAATCTGAGGGTGCAAAAAATCCAAATATTGAGAAAATCGCCTTTAAAGTTGTCCAAATGAAGTCCTTAGCAATGCATATTACTAATGATAATACATTTTTGATATATTTACAGTAGGAAATTTACAAAATATCTCCATGGAACATCATCTTTACTTAATATCCTAATGATTTTTGGCATTAAAAAAAAATCGATAATTTTGACCCATACAATGTATTTTTGGCTATTGCTACAAATTTACCCCAGCGACTTAAGACTGGTTTTGTGGTCCAGGATCACATTTGTGAGGTGTTTCAAGTTCCAAAGTGCTTTGTTATGAAATTACTGATGAGACCTTAAGGTGAGAGTGTCTGTGTTGCAGGATGGCCTCACGCCTTTACACTGTGCAGCAAGAAGTGGGCATGACACAGCAGTGGAGCTCTTATTGGAGAGAGGAGCCCCTATGCTGGCCAGAACCAAGGTAGCTATCGAAATGAGGACTTTTATAATATAACATGCTTTTGTTTTTGTATAATAATAAATATAAATTCTGCAAATTAACTGTAATGTGTTGTTGGAGGTAAAGGGTAAAGTTTTAGGTTACTGTTTGAAATTACACCCTAATACCTGAATTACTAAGTAATGTCTGTTATAGCTTTGAAAATCTCTCCCTTCCCATAACATGACACTTTGTATACAGTGCAACATATACAAAGACATGTAATAAAACTACTATTATAATCACCAAAGCTGTCAACACTGTAAGCAGTGCAACATCTAATGGTGTATAGACACTGCATGCAAGTATGATGGTGGGGCAATCACTTGTCCACAGCAAAAAAATTCCACTTTGTATTTAGGAAGCAGGTATTGTTCTGGAGGAGAGATTGCCTCAACCAGGTGACATAAGAAAAAGTTATTAGTAAAAGTTAACAGTAGCATGATAACGAAAAAATTCAACACAGTAACATAAAATAAATAAATGCAAATTTCAATAGGCATACCAAATTTGTTTCGTTTTTATTCATTTCAGGAATTGTCAATTCAATTCTGAATGCTGCAAAATCTTGTTAGTTACTTTGAATAAGAGTAATTCAATAATGTAATGCATTATTTTACATTGTAACTCAACCCATCACCTACCAACAACAGTTTTCTTTTATCTCTCCTAAAGTTTCAAAGTTTAAAAATGCTTTATTTACGTTATCAAAACATTCAGAAATATTACACATACAAACTAATATGTGATGCATAAATGTTTTTTTTTCCTTTCTTTCTTTTTTAATTTACCCTTGTTGTATCTAGAACGGTTTATCCCCACTCCACATGGCAGCGCAGGGTGACCATGTGGAGAGTGTCAAACACCTGCTGCAGCACAAGGCACCTGTTGATGATGTCACACTGGACTACCTGACAGCCCTCCATGTTGCTGCTCACTGTGGTCACTGCAGAGTTACCAAACTTCTACTAGACATGAGAGCCAACCCGAATGCTCAAGCATTGGTACATGCATTCTTCTTATTGTGAGTCTTGTTTCCGCTATAAAGTTTTTTTTATAATCTTACACCTTCTTCTTGCTGGTTGTTTCTTTTTAGAATGGTTTCACTCCTCTACACATTGCCTGTAAGAAAAACAGAGTCAAAGTGATGGAGCTCTTGATCAAATATGGAGCATTCATTCAAGCTATCACTGAGGTATGAGCACAGAGACTTACACTCCCATAAGAGCAGCACGGTGCCCTGATATTTCATGCTGGGCTCAGGGTCCCGTTTAAAAAATGTTATACCCCTCATGACACTGACATTGTAGGCTCTCTCCCTCCAGCACATTCTCAGGTGATCGTATCACCTCATTTTGGCGCTTTGCCAGCATAGAGACTTCTGCCAGATGTGTCGTCATGGGACATGTCATCATGCGTCATGTCAAATTTGGACAAAATCACTGTTTTATGACTGACTAAATGTTCCCATAGTGTCAGCTACTGATGCAGCTTCTCATCCCTACTCAGGGAACAAGGGTATATAGTATAACCGAGATGGTTCCCACAGAGTTCAAATGCAACGTTTTGCTAATCCTCCAGACTTGCATGCTTATTTTTTTTATTTTTATTAAATATTCTGACTGATATAATAAAGTTAGTAATATAAGTATTGTTTCAGCTTTGTTCAACATATTTTACCACATTCTGATAATTTTTTTCTGCACAATCAGCATAGAAAAACATGATAGATCTGGTTTGGGTCTATTCATTTTATTGATCTATACTATATATCAGTATAATCACAATACAAATATATACTGTATAATTAATGTAATAAAAATATGTGCTTATTTGGTAGAAACAGTTAGTAGATTAAGTGTGTTAATTTATTTGATTTAGATAATCAGGCTGATGTTGTTGTTGTCATCTCTCTCTCTCTCTCTAGTCTGGTCTCACACCAATCCATGTGGCAGCCTTCATGGGTCACCTCAACATTGCTCTTTTACTACTGCAGAATGGAGCTTCCCCTGATGTTAGCAACATAGTGAGTAAACTGTGAGCTGTCTGTCTTCCATCATGGAATCTTAAAAGTGGTCAATGTGGAATGTTCTACATAGGCACAGGCACAGTATGACTCTCACATAGTGCTAAATTAAACTATGCATAAAAAATATTTTTTATTAATATCCATCAGTATAGTGGAGAGTGGGGTAAGATGAGCTGTTTTTTATCATTTTAAATGATCAGAATGTATCTATGACAAAGGGTTCTATAAATATAGCTTCTTGTAAAAAAGTGTTCCCGTGGCTCAATTTGACCCTGGTTAGGAGTAAGCTAACCCGAGTCAGTGGGTAAGATGCACCATCTGGGTGTAAACTGACCATCTGACTGAATCTGATTCAAACCCATGTGCAATTTTAAAGATAATTTACCTCTTTTAAAAACGAATTTAATAATCAAATTTCCTTCTACAAACAGTCATATTTCTTTCTTTTTTTTGCTTTTTTTTTTAAAAGCTAACTTAAACAACATTAAACCAACCAAATGAAGTTTAAATTTCAATCTTTAATTGTTTGCATTTCTGAAACAATATGTTTTTGGTTTGAATAATATAATAATAGTTTATATAGTTTATATAATAAACTAAACCAGTTGCGTAATATCACATTAAAATAGCAAGAGATTTAACTTAACTTCAGTGCCTTATGGTGGGGTAAGTTAAAATGCTGGCTCAATTTACCCCACAGCATTTGGCTCACTTTGCCCCATAACTGACATTTTGGAAAAACAAAACTAGCTAGCTTACCAATTCAGGCGAATATTTAGCTAAATTATTTACATGGTTTTATATGTTGCTAAATCACCTATATACATCATAAATATTTTTAGACCTGGATAAATTTGCTTTGATGTAACAGCAATTACATCTGGCATACTAAAATTTTACTTTGACAAGCCAAAAACAATTTATAGGTGTAAATGGGTATCTTCCACTCCTCCCATGTGTTTCTCCTTTTCACAGTCTGGCAGAAATGATAGGTGGTTCCAAAATACATGGTCACATGACAGTAAAAGTGTACAGTTGCCAAGATACAGGGGGTGGGTCAACTTACCCACTGGCTCAACTTACCCCACTCTCCCCTATTGAAGGAAATTTAAGTTTGGTGCAAAGCATTTTAGAAATGCCTTTTCAATTTAAGCGTATTTTTAATGCTGACTTTTAATTAAGATGCCTATGCTAGGCCTATGCCTAGGCTTTGTGTTGTAAGTCAATTATTTAAACCATGGAGGTTCAGCTAAGAAAAAAGGTTAGAAATGTCTGTTCTAGAGTATTAAATATTCCCTCTGTATTCTGTCCCAGCGTGGAGAAACAGCTTTGCACATGGCTGCCCGTGCTGGACAGATGGAAGTTGTTCGTTGTCTTCTGAGGAATGGAGCCATGGTGGACGCAAGAGCAAGGGTAAGACAAAGGCATGATTCGGCAGTGAAAGGGTTAACTTAATATTGAGAATTGTGCAATCCTCCTGTCTTATTAGAGGGGAAATAGGTATTCCAACTGCATTGCACTGTCATAAGGATTGGGCAACTACTATACGCTTTTAAGGGTCTGTGAGAGCAGGGTGGCCAAAGGCTGACAAAATGCAGATATTTAGCCCATATATAATACAATGTAATGACAACAAATGAGACATACACCAAACTGCTAAAATGAAACTTGAAACTTTAACACAATATTTACTCAAAATGTGCCTATATGTACCAATATCACTCTTCTCACCCATCAGGAGGATCAGACTCCGCTTCACATTGCATCTCGTTTGGGTAAGACAGAGATTGTCCAGCTCCTGCTACAACACATGGCTCATCCAGATGCAGCAACCACTAATGGTTACACCCCCCTTCATATCGCTGCACGAGAGGGACATCTGGACGTTACTTCAGTGTTGTTGGAGGCTGGTGCTTCTCACTCTTTAGCTACCAAGGTCGGTGATAGCCAGATTTTACCTTTCTGTTGAAAAAAAAAACCTGTTTAGACCAGTATCATTGTGGTCATAAGTTTGCATACACTTTCAGAATCTGCAAAAGGTTTTGTCTTCTGGGAAACATGTAGCCATTTAAGAACAGTACTAATTGAAAAAAAAAAAAAAAGCTTTTTAAATGAAATAAGAACAACTTACACCTATCATACAGTTCAAAAGTTTACATCCCTGTAGAGATTTGCCTTCTTCAGCATAAATGAATGATTGCACCAATTGTAATAGTTGAGTCACTTAACTTGTCCTAAGTGTAAAAAAAAAAATTAATTGATTTATCTCAAAATCATATAGTCACTGTTGAAAAGGTGTCAAATATGCAGAAGATTATTTCCTTGTGGATTCATTCATGGCAATAATTAAAATATATATATATATATATTTATGTTACCTTTTATTTAATTAAAATTATAAATTATGTTAATTATGCCAAGTGTATGTTAACTTAGGACCATAAGATGTTTTCCCATTCTGGATTCCCATTCTGGTCCAGGTTAGTTCAGGCCAGTTAGTGCTGTTAAAGCTGGTGGATCAACATATCCAGTAAAACAAAGCTGATGAAGCTGGTTCACCACAGAAGCATGCTAGTTAAGAAACCTGGGCTGCGTTTCCCAAAAGCATCGTAAGCCTAAGTAGATAAGAAAAACAATTGTACGACTGATCTTAGTATAACGGTCTGTTTCCCAAAAGCATTGTAACTTAAGCGGCACTTGAAAATGATCGTAGAACTACGAGTGCTCTGCAGTAATCGTAAAGCCCTAAGTGCATCGTAAGAAGAGAGAGTTATGAGGTCACCTGCAGGACAACCGGCAGATTGCACCTTTAACTTTACTCAAGTGCAATGTGATTATAATATAAGGTTTTGATTGTACTTCTCTTTATTACTCTTTTATTGTTTAAATGAATTTAAAAATGAAATAATTAAAAATAAAATGAAAAAATAAAAATACACATAAATATGTATACATCGAACAGTGCTGATAAAACATGTCTGCAATAAACTTTTTTGTCTGTACCTGTAGAAATGTATTGGCTAGATGAAGTACAAATATTTGTGCTCTTGTCACCCCTAATATATACACTTTATATATTAATAATGTCTAAACTTACATGTTTATGTTTGAAAATAACCATCAACCATTAATCGTTCACTCCAGAAACACTTGGAAGAACTCATAAGAATTATTTTTTCATTGGGCCTCATAGGCCTTGGGTGGTTCAACAAACACATGGACATCAAAAACATTGAATCAACATGGTTGTATTGATTTGAGTCAATGAGCTGCTGTTGAAAATTGTTGTTGTCTTATTAGCCTCTTTAAGACATTGCCTAATGTCTTTCAAGAGATCTCTCCAGCTGCATTTGCAGTCCTGACTACAACCACATATGTGACCCTGGACCACAAAACCAGTCATAAATTTTAGATGATTTATACATCAAGCTTTCCATTGATGTATGGTTTGTTAGGATAGGACAACATTTGGCCGAGATACAACTATTTGAAAATCTGGAATCTGAGGGTGCAAAAAAATCAAAATATTGAGAAAATCACCTTTAAAGTTGTCCAAATGAAGTTCTTAGCAATGCATATTGCTAATCAAAAATGAAGTTTTAATATATTTACAGTAGGAAATTTACAAAATATCCTATGGAACATGATCTTTACCTAATATCCTAATAATTGTTGGCATAAAAGAAAAATCAATCATTTTGACCCATACAATGGCTGAGGCCTGAGAGGGTTGTTTGGAGGACTAGGATTTAGTTGGTGCTTGGAGATGGCAGGTGAAACTGATAGTTCCTCTGAGCATGAAGGACGGACCTGACTCTCAGGTTGAGGCAGCCCTACTCCATGGAGGTCAATACCACCACAAATGCCATCTGAAGTATTGACAAGGCCTTTTCTGCCTCTGCTATGAGAAGTGGGGAGTCATTGGTCCAACCACCTGTTTTTGTTTTTTTTTAATTGCCAACCTCTGCAGTGCCCTTCCTTTTTGCCAGGCTTGCAAAGTCTTCTTGCGGACTTCTTGCGGACCTCTTCCCTGATCCCTTAACACCCCTGGTTGCAGTTAATTTATTAACAAAGTCCTCCCATTTTGTTTTTCCTTATTTGTATGGTGTTTAAATATTTAAATCTGCTGAAAATTACTTTTTTTTTCACTCAACCTCCTCCAGAAGAACAGTAATTTCATCGTTTTGAAAGGTATTTATTTATTTTTTTCTGATCCACATCAGGTGACGACTATTAGGTTCAAGGATACAGTTCTATAACGTAATATTTCAGCACTTGACAAACGGACAGCGACTATTAAGTAGCATGTAGAATGCGTCCTTGAGTGTTCATGTTAATTGCATTTTTTGGAAATGCACGTAGAATTGCGGCGAGCTTTCGTAACCTCGTGCGTAGAGAGCACTCTTAAGAGCTAAGATCCATTGTTATTGGGAAACCCGGCCCTGGTCAGTACATGTTTTAAATCAGCATCAAAGGTATGCTTGTAATTTCAGCAAGACATTAGAATGTTTTTTAGTAAGAAAAGTTACGAATCAGTGCTGTAATGGTAATACTGAAGAAATTATTTGTAATATTTTCTGTTATTATTGCAGATTAATCAATGACTTGATTAAGCACTATTACCTTGCCAGTTGCTCTTAATAGAGGTGTGCAACTATTTTAAATTTGCCAAGGTTTCCAAACCATAGTTTCAAGGATTATTAACTATTGTAACTGTAATTAACTATAAATGTAGACACAGTTATTAACATACTGAAGTTATTGTTACTGTCATTAAACTGTGTTAACCTACAGTTAGTACACATTAACCAGACAGTACTATGTTCAGATTCCTCTGTATAAGGACTCACTGTCTCTCTGTTGACAGAACCAAAAACTACATCTGAATCATCTAGTAAAGAGCAAGCAGAACCATTTGACAGCCAGAGCTATGCTTTCAATTCACTGGGCCCAGCCTCTATACACTCATCTATCTCAAAACATTTTTAGTATGGCCATCTTGTCATAGGGCCCAGGGCAGTTGTCCACCTGACAGTATGGTAGCTGATAGAAAAACGTAATAATAACATAATTAATAACGTAACAATTATGAATAATAATTGTAATAATTTTACAATACTTACATTTTATGTTAATAGCTTTGAATGATTTCCTATTTATAATAAATTGCATATTAGTATTGTGTATAATGTAATGTACATCCATTTAGGTTAGCATGTTTGACAAGGATTAGTTGATTTATCTGTATTCTGCATTTAAATATTTACAGAAAGGGTTCACACCTTTACATGTGGCATCAAAATATGGTAGCCTGGACGTGGCAAAACTACTTCTACAGCGGCGGGCACCCCCTGACTTTTCTGGGAAGGTAGGCACAAGCAAACTGAACCGACAATCTATTTTTAAAACACTGTTGTAATTTTTTTTTTTTTTGCAGTTGTTTATATATATACATAATTGGTTGGTTTTAGCCTAATGTAACCAATTTTTGGGATGATGTTTAAAAGAAATACATTGATGCTATGTTGACTTCAAGAGTACTGGTAAGCATTGTTTTCACTGATAATATTTTGTTAAGAAAAGGAGACAACATTGTTTTCTTCCTTTTTTCTTTAATAAGGAACCAGATTTTGATTGCTCTCGAGCTTGCACTCTAATATAGACAATAACCTTGCCTTCAAACTTAACACGCTATTACAATCCCTGTTAACACTGTTTTTTCATCATATATTCCATGCGTCATCAGGTTTGATTTAATGCTTTTTGCAATGCTAACAGTTCTCCCTTAATCATGTTGCACTGACCATCATCCCTGCAGAACGGTCTTACTGCTCTACATGTTGCTGCTCACTATGATAACCAGAAAGTGGCGCTCCTGCTTTTGGACAAAGGGGCATCTCCCCATGCCACAGCCAAGGTGAGAAGACATCATCTTAAAATATATACGACATACCTTTTTTTCTGTGAAATTTCATTTCACATTTCTTTTTTTCTCTAGCTGTCTGTGTAGCAGAGATGGGCACTCGAGTTAGTGACTCGAACTCGAGTCGCATTTTTATAGACTTAAGACTTGACTTTAGACTCGACCTGAAATGACTCTAGACTTGACTCGACTCGAGGAAAAGGACTCGTGAATATTTTAAAAGCAACTCGAGTCTTAATTCTTATATAACTAATATTCAAAAGGTGGACCGCATCCGCACCCCGGCATCCATACGGACTGCGAGCCGTAGCAGCACAATTTTGTGAGCAGCGCGTCAAAACAGCGGAGCGGATCACATAAAAAGCGCTCGGGGTCATTTATAGTAAATATCTTTCAGCGCTATATAGGCTGCTCTAGTATTTTTATCTAAAGCCAAACGCGCTTTACTCTCTCTCTCTCTCTCTCTGGACGCGGTTATTTTAACAACAACAGAAACACGGAAAGCAGCAAAATTATAGATTACTTTCACTAAAACACAGCAGAAAAAAAAAACAATGCTGCAAATATAGTTATTTTTCTTACTATCTATTTATCTAACCTATTCAAACCAGATGTGGCAAGACCTTTCTGATCTACATTTAGCATTATTAATCTGACTAAGAACATTTCAAAAGAACTAGAAGAAGGAAATTGTTGTTAGATGGCTAGGATCTCTGATCATTTATTCAGTCCGCACACACGTTAGCTGTGTCCCAAAGTTGAGTGTGCACACT